GAGATACTGATATGCTGATCCTGCTTGATTCAAAACTTTCAGGAGGAGTGGGATGTGGATTCAAATCAAAGTCACCCTTGTCCAAAGAGGCAGGTATACATATATAGGTATTCAGGAATAAATGTTTGGTGTTTCCCAAAATTGAGATTTAACACTACAAAACATTTTTCACATTGTTTCATCTGATTGTCAAAGTACTCATCACAACTTTATGTAAATGTTTGAGCAGAAGGGCTGGACAAAAGCTAAATTCATAAACAGGCCAAAAGAATTGGAACTGGTTGAGTCTCTGCTTCACCATAAACACAAAAACCAAGGATCTTGATTCTTAGTTTGATTAGGGTGGGTGAGGATTGTTTGGGACAAGTCGGAAAAATTCCAGTTCCAATGAAGGAATGAATAGGGCAGGTTAGGGGATGAAATTTAAAATGGGTCTGGACTCCTCCATCCTCAAACCAATATAAACTGAGTTGTGGGTGAGAATGGTCTGACCCATGGGCCTGCAGTACACATAGAGGTTTTTGGGTGTTTGTAATGCAGAATGAATTTTTGTTTTATGATTAAAATTACTACAGTTTTTCATTCACAGATCAAGATAATCAGCTGACCAAACAATTTACAGATTGATCAAGATATTGGATGTTTGATAAATTGAAATATATGTGTCATATATCAACAGTCAAGTTCCCAGCACTTTTAATCTTTCAACTGGACATTCAAGGTGACACAAGCATTCAGGACCAGTGGAAATACAGAAACAAACTTGAATCATTGAAATTTCAAAAGAGAAAGCTATAATTTATACTCAACAAAGGAGACTTTTGCAATCAAAGTTTGGGGTTTTCTGTTTCATTAAATTTTCTGGGGATCTTCACCAGCCTGTTGGACTAAATCAAACAATTGAAAGATCATATGACTTGTTTATTTCTGAAAGAAACCACTACTAAGAATTGTACCAAAGAAATTATCTCAGAAAACCAGAGGAAGAAAGGAGAGTGAGGATTAGTCTCAGACTCACTGATCTGATTTCCAGGAGCTTAGGGTGGGGTTTAAAAACCAAAATTCTTTGCTTGTTGTTGGTTTTGAGATTGTAAGAACTTCCAAATTGGAAGGCCATATGGACTAGTGTGCCACCTTGCGCAAATGTTTTTTATTCTATTTTTTAGGTTGAGATAAATTACATGGTTTATTTTCTCATTCCTTGAAAAATGTGAAGGGGCCTTGGAGAACCGAGCCAAGAAATTCACCGCGTAGGTGATGTCCGGGCGGCTTCCTGCGGAGAGGTAACTCAGACTACCTATGATGGAGAGGTAGCGGCTGGGGTTGACGCCGGCTTCTTTGGCCGCTGTAAGGGGAAGGTTACCGGTCAGAAGAGGGGTTTTGGATGTTGAAAACCCGTCCCAGTGTTCCTTCAGGATCTTCTCCGTGAGTTTTGGCTGGGAGATGAGAAAACCAGAATTATTCCGGGAGATGTGCAGTCCGACTATGTCGGACAGTGTATCCGCCCATTTAACCTCCAGAGACGAAAATACATCTGCTAACAATTTGTGCAGAGCTGCGGTAGACGGTCCGGTGACGATCCCGTCATCGACGTGGATCCAGATGGCGGTATTCCCGATGGGAGATTGGAGGATGTAAATGCTCCTGTCATACTGAGAGCACACATATCCCAATCCCGAAAATACAGAAGATAGGTGTTGCCACCAGCAGCGACCAGCTTGTTTGGTGCCGTGAAGCGCCTTCTTCAGAAGACACACGTGGCCTGGGGGGACAGACAAACCTTCAGGCGCAGAGACCCAAACCTCTTCGTCGATAGGCAAATTCAAGTATGCCGCGACAAAATCAAAAGTGTGAACCGGCCACTTGTTCAAAGCAGCAACAGCCAAGATCAAACGCATGGAGACAAAAGTAGCAGTGGGCGTGAAAGTTCCGTTGAACTGCTCGCCAGCCACCTGAGCGTAACCTTTTGCGACATACCTAGCCTTGAAACGAGTAGTGGACCCGTCAGCGCCTAGCTTCCAGGCAAACACCCACTTAGCTAGAAGAACCTTGACTCCGGCGGGAATGGGACGAATCTCCCAGACAGCAAGGCGGGACAGGTTATCGAGTTCCTACTTGATAGCCGCTGTCCAACTCGAGGCATCGGGGGAGCGGAGCGCCTTCTTGTACGTGGTCGGGACGTCAGCGTCCAGGAATTCAGGGACCAAGTCCACGAGCTCATCGAAGAGGCAATCCTGTCCCTGGACGATTTCTTCATTGCGAAAGTCGCCAAGCTGTAGTGCCAAGACCAGGGAAAAGGATGGGGATTTGGCAAAACTTGAGGGAAACTCAGGAAAAGTGGCCACAGCAGACTTCACGTAGTCCTGCAGCTCTGGGACCCAGAAGCCCCAACCCTTGGATTCAGGGAGAAAAGAGACAGTGTAACCCTTCAGAGCCCGGTCATCCAACTTGCACCGTTTTTCCGCCTGGACATGAACGAACGCCACGGCGCCAAAAGGGCGTAGACGGTCAATGTTTGGCCGCTCGTTGAAGAATTTCTCGAAAGGGGTGATATCGCCGCTAGCGGTATTTGGAAACCAATTGAGAACATGGCAAGCCCACACGAGAGCGAGCCCCCAAAATGGTTTGGGCAGGGTGCTGTCAAGCAGGATTGTGCGGCCCATCTCCTGCAGAGTGCGGTTGAACCGTTCTATTGACCTGTTCTGGTAGTGATGGTATGCGATGGCACGCTCCGTCGAGATACCCTTTGAGGCTAGGAAGCCGGCCAGGGCGTGACTGTTGAATTCCCCGCCGTTGTCAGAGCGGAGGATCTTCAAACGTTTACCGGTGCAAGTTTCCAGACGGAGGATCGTTTCCTGCAGGACGGGGGTGGCCTCACTTTTCTTCGCGAGGACTTTTACCTCACAATAACCAGAACCCAAATCCCGGAGAGTTAGGACATAAAGGCCGCCACCCAGGTCTTGCTCCTCAAAAGGGCCCACTAGGTCTACGTTCCAGATGTCCATGGGTTGGAAGTTCCTCTTGTCAGCCTGAGTGATGCCAAGAGCTGAAACTCTTCTAGCTACACTAGGTGCAAGGATGAATTCAGAGGTGTACACGTGTGAGTGACACGTGAAAAGTGGGTAGAAGTGTGGTAATAAAAAGAAAAGTAAATAAAAACTGTTAAGTTTTTATTTACAGAGGGGCCTGAGTTACAGGGGTTTTTAAGGTGCCCTCTAATATCAGGTCCTGGGTTACAGGGGTGGTACTGATGTTCTGGTCCTTTGTAATAAAGGAGTATGCCCAGAAATAGCCTACAACTGAAGAAACAAAGAAATAATACTTACTAGTACTTATCTCTAAGCCAAGGAAGTCTTCAGGAGGGGGGAACTGTTCTTGAAGCGCTCAGAAAGGTGGGTGAGAGATGTTGGAGGAGTGCTGGGGAACAGGTGTTGGTTGGTTGATGGAAATTCAGGTTGATAACAGCAGGAACAGGGCCAATGGGCAGTTGGAAACTGGTTGTTGGTGACGGTTTATGCTGGTAAGTGATGATGAAGATGGGGAATCAAAGTTCAGCGGGAAGAAGGGGCTCTTAAGTACCCATTCTGGGCCTCTGGAGGCGAACTCAGGAGTCTCTCTAGTTGCTACAACTCTCCTACTAAGCCTATGGGAGCTTTTGATCATCTGTAGCACCTGTAGAGCTTGGTTACAGGTGCCAAGGAGATGATGTAATGCTTGTAACCATGTTCACAGGGTGTTCTGACGAAACTGTAACACTCCTGCAGCCTATGTAAGCACTGCATGATGCATGGGTTGATCTTCAAGAGAGTAATTGTCCCAATTGGGCCAAAAAGGGCCACAGATCATCCCAAACAGTTTAATACTGTAGTCTGTGCTCATGTAGTTAATGTTTCAATGATGTAAACCTTGTTTGTAGATTTTTCCCGAACTGCATGAACCTTAATTACACATGTAGCCCCCTTACAACATGTAGTATGATGTAACTGGAGGGGTCCACAGTGTATTTTGGCCCAATATCACTCAAGGACTACAAAGTAAGTGAAGGAGTAATAATTCAGGGGTACACTTGGTGAGCTACCCAAGGTTATTTTGCATGTAGATTCAGAATCTGCAATAATATTCTGAGTTATACTTAAGGTTCAGAAGTTATTAGGAGATTCTGGTTAAAAATGTTATTTTTTCTTATTTATTTAATTATTTAAATGGTTTTCTCATGGAATATTATAATGTAAGTGAACAGTGTAATAATGTCTCTATTATAGTGCTTCCACTTATTTAAATAGTATATTTTATTGTTTTTAATTGTATGTACATATGTAAGTAATAATATCTCTAATTTATATGTAAAATGCTATGTACAGGCTGGCTCTGATTAGTACCAGGCTGACACCTCTGGTCGGACGTGAGGGAGTTGCGGTTAACGCTCTTTGCAGTCAAACAAGCAGGGCATTGAATTTCTCCCCGAGGAAGGGAGGCAGGCAAACCCAGGGCCACACCCATGCTAACCATCCTTCGCAGGACACGAATGTTGGCATGACCGAAGCCTTGGTGAATCTCAAAAAGAACTTTCTCATCGGCGGTCAACGGCCGAGATTCAAACGGGCGGGTTGTGGCAAGGGGAACCCTCAACTGGAAAGGGGGGAGGGGTTTGGCTATTTGCGGCAGTAACAGTAACAACAGAAGCAGTACAACGGGGGGAGGACAAAACGGCAGGGGGAACACAAGGTACGACAGACAAAGAAACAGGAACACGCGGAGAAACGAGCGACTTTGAAACAGAGGAAGAGAGAGATGAAGCAGAGGAAACAAGGGAGCGTAAAGGCGCCGGGAACATCCACTGGCGCGTGGTAAGATTGAGCTTCGATTCAGTCCATACATGAGGCCCACGAGAAATGATAAAAGAGTCAGTAGATGAGTTATAAGAGAGGTTGAAACCTGCCAGGTGAAGAGCGACCGGAGAAATCAAAGTGTGGGCTGCGTGAGGGCAAAAGAGAACGCCTTTAAGATTCACCAGAGTTGAGCTCGGCCCAAGAAAAGTCAGGGTGCCCTTCCCTGTGACAAATCGGGGTGCTCCGTTAGTGGCTACTCTCAAGGGAATTGGGTTTCTCAGTAACATAAACTCAGTAAGTGCTGACCTATCACCGGTCAGGTGGTGAGTGGCCCCGGTGTCGAACAGAGCGTCAGAAGGAGTACCTTCTGGGGTAGCGGAGAAGGTAAGGTCAGAGAACGACGGGGCGGCGGTGGAGGCATCCACAGCGTTTGGATCGGTCATGGTGGCGTCCGCCTCCCGAGCAGATGGGCGATGGGTGTTGACGTTGGAGCGGTAAGACGGGCGGTAGGAGTCGGCAGGTTGCAAAGGGGCAGGCGGAGCGGCGGCACCACGGTGGTGGTAAGCGTTGTGGTAGGGATGGAAGGGGGGGGCTAAGATCGGGTAATAGGCTTGGTACTGAGCAACAGGGGGTTGGGGTCCAGGAGGATGATGGGATTGGCGTGGGGGATGGCCGGTGGTTGGGTTCGATGGCGCAATGTTGCATTGAGAGATCAAGTGAGAAGAAGAGCCGCAACAAAAACAAGACCTGGATTGGGGGGTAGGAGTCTTGAAACCGGAAGGACGCCCATCCAGGACGTACACATTGTCTGGGTGGCTTTCGACAGAGGCAGCTCGAATGTCATGTTGGGCATCGTGTGCATGACTCGCGAAGCCTGATGGAAGAGGCTCGCAATGGCGACCAGCGTCGCGGGCGCGGACCCGCTCCCGGCAAGATGAGAGCACATTGAAATAGTCGTTGAAACTCATTGGGATATCGCGCCTGACAGAGAGTTTGCGGTTGATGCTCATGTCGAATTCTTGTCGGAGCTCGGTACCGTGAGAAATAGAGGCGTGCAAGATGAGAGAGAGAGAATGGATTTGGTGTCGAAAGCTATGCCGGACTCGCGGAGATCCGCAAGGCGATGCCGGTACAACGCCGCAACCGATGAAGCATTGGTGGTGGGGTCAAAGGGGATGGCGAAAAGGTTGGCCCATTTGTTCAGCTGGGCTGCACAACTGAAGGTAGTGAAGCGTCGTTTGATTTGCGCCATGATGCTGAAGCTGGATGACAGTTCATAAAGATCAGCCTTGATGGAACGGTGAAGGGAGAGTAAGAGCGCCGCTTTAGCTACGCAATCCATTGGATCATGGGAGTGGTCGGCCTCAAAATACATGTCATCATCGAAGGTCATGAGAGCAAATTCTTGGACGTCGCGGAGCCAGATTTGGAAGTTTGAACCGTCTTCCTTGAGGCGATCTTCAGGCGGGAACCGGGTGTTGGCTTCCTTGATGACCATCGCTCTGAATCGGGGATCATCCGCTGCTCGGGAGTTGGAGCTGAGTTCGCGGTGAGGTGGCACCTCGTGATTTGGGGGAATCAGGTCATCGGGCATGACGTCGGAGCCAGAAGGGGACCTGTTGTGGGATTGATTGGCGGCTGCGCGGGTTCTGATGGGAGATCGCGTGAGAGGGACCATATCGTCAAGGTGAAAATACAAAGGGATGTAGCGGAATAGAATGGTGGGGATGAGTGGTAGAGAGGAAAAATGAGGTAGGCAGAAGGAGATGAACTGAAATATATGACACGAAAAAACTAAGGAGCACTACACGACACAACAGGGATGGAGGAAAATATGAAAAAAAATGTAGAAAATTATGATGCAGCGTACAGAACTATCTTTCACGACACGACACGGTATATAAAAGTAGAAAAAAGAATGGAAAATTATTACAGGTGGAGATAGACTAAAAATTCAGGGATCACGACACAACACGCTATGTTAGATGTAAAAGTTACTTTGGGAATAGTGTAAAAACGAGGACGGAAGATGGTATAACAGCGGGAATACAGGATGGTTTTACAAAAGCGAGAGGGTGCTCATAACCTAATAGGCTCTGACAGTGGGACTATGGGTGTAAATGAATGTAATGTAATGCAGATGGAATGGAATGAATGGGAACAAACAGACTCAAGACAGAGTTGTATTTATATACATGTGTTTATGTAAATACAACTGAGGTCGAAGTCGAGAAACAAGACAAGCTAGGGAAAGTCATGATGTCAAGAAGATGAGCAGAAAGAGAATGTCGTCATGACTTTCCTCTGAGACTGTAGTCCATGAAGTGCATAATATGTACCTGTCATTACGTGGTACATATTATGTACTTGGGCTACAACAGAACCAATCAGGATTTACAAGTGACATCATGCAGGTTGTCATGTCATTTGTTATTCTTCCTTGCAGCTGTCAAACTATCTCACACCACTCATGTAATCTTCATCACCCCATCTTAGTTTGCAGACTAGTACAATCACCTCATGTAGCATGCTACACCAGCATAAAACCCTCATGTAGACTTCTAGTTCAGGCTAAAATGACTCTTATGACATCATGTAGGTTGCTCAACCAGCCAAAATACCTCATGTACATGTCCTGACTAGCTAAATCCCCTCATTGTAAAGCTCTGGCCAGCTAAAATCTCTCATTCTCTTGTTCCCCTGAAGCTAAAATCCCTCACCTTTGTGTATTTAAGGAGGCTCTCCTCCCAGTTGTTTTTCCTCTCAGTTTAGTACCCACCAATTACATACCCCCTACCATTGCATACCATACCATTAACATTACATACTGTAACAACCTTTATAACACCCTATAACAACACTTACACCTGTAATACACACTAAACTCACTCTCATACTCTCAAAAACCTCTTTTCTCACACAATTAAATTGCGATCAAACAACTTATTCTCGAACCAACCACCCCTATCACTTGATTAAAACTTGCCAAGCTGAGCTTGGTGGGTCTTGTAATCTGATAGTACAGAAGGGCAGAGCTTGCAACTCCACCATACCCTTCAACATTCAGCAAAAGGGTTCTCACAACCACTTTTGAGTCTTACACCGGTGCCAAGAGACTCAAACAGAATGGATTTTTTTTTCAAAAAAAAGAGAAGAAAAAACAACCCGGCCCCCCTCAGCCTAGAGAAGCAGAGGCCACACCGCCAGGAGGAATCCCTCCCAGCGAGCTGGTACACAATCCAGCTCGCTGGGGAGGGATTCCTCCCAACAAGCTGGTTTACAGTGGGTAGACAGTGAAAAATGGCTGCTTATTTTGGATTCCAGAGCTCTGAAACACAAACTTGAAGTCATAAGACTTGGTCAGGTGGTGCATAATAGGTCCCCAAAAATTAGTATGAAGTAATAAAAGCAAAAAATAAAGTTTGAAAATTTGTGAAAAATAAAAAATAAACTCAATTTTTTTCAAAAGCTTTAATATTCATTCTGAGGGAGTGGGAGTGCTGAGAGAAAGAAAGAATGGAATATTTGGAAAATGTTGTGGAGCATATTGGCTGCTGATTCTGGACATAATCTTACTATCTTATCAAAGTCTAGACAGCAATAAAATTCAGTTGCTGTGTTTTCTTTGTTTTCACACTGAGCTTGTGTGGTATTTGTTTTAAGGAGGATGGCCAACACAATAAAAGTTGATTTTCTAGACCCCTTAAAAATAGATGGAGACCATGTGGAGTTTCAACATATACAAAATGTTTCCAAATTGTTTTGTAGATCTTATTTAGAAGCACAAAAAACAATAGATTCCAGCCAATTCAAGCTATGCAAATGGAGTTTAATTTTTGGGCTTCCTCCAAAAAGCCTTACAAGTATTACAATAATATTCAATTGGTGGGATTGTGCCCCTGCAACTTGTGGAGCATGTGGGACAATTTGCAAACTCAGAGTTATACTGTAAAGGACGGGTCCACTAGATCATACCAGGTAAGATTAGGATGTCTTTATTGGTATTGCTCATACTTCAGGAGATTGCTTACAGGGTTTGGATTGAGTGGGCTGTTTTCTTGGCCTCTTGGTAGAGGTTCCCGCTGCCATAGTACAGTTGTCTGTTCCCGGTTTACACCAGATCCTCTACAGAGTGGACATGTGCTTCCTGTTTGAGCAAACCAAGGACTCATACATCCGGAATGAAAGGGATGTCCACAATTTGGCCATCGTCTGACTTGACCTTCTTCCACAGCATTCTTGCAAATTGAACACATGTTGGATGAACTTCCCCCCTGAATTGATCATTCACACATTGGATGAAAATATGTCAGGACTTCTATCTTCTTGCATCATCAAACCTAAAGAAAATGACTCACATCATTCAAGCTACGTTTTATATTATGATTACTTGATTTTGGGAGAGCATTGGAAACCACAGAAGCTAAGGATATTTCCCAAAGAATACATCTACTTAGTTTGTCTTGTGTTGTGTTGGGCAATTTTCCAGAAAAATGAAATCATTAATTTACCAAGTTGATCAGGTCCCAGTACTACAGTTGGTGTTGAAATGATTACTTGATGAAGAAACTAGAATTAGAAATTAGTAATTAGCAGGCCAAGATATTATTTAAATATTGATGGGAATATCTCACCATAGAAACCATCAAGATGCCAATTGACACCATTTCTGCAAGGAAAATGTTTGTAGGATACTGAAGTGCTGAGCGTGCTTTATTGAAAAACTCTCAGGAGTAGTGGGATGTGAAATCAAGGTCCCCATTGTCTAAAAAGGTGAATATATATATATATATATTCAAGAATAGCTTGTCAACATGTTTCAAATTCAAAACTCAAACTTGCAAAGTCTCTTTCATATTGTTTCATGCTGCAGTACTTATCAGCAACACTGGTACATAGATTTCTGAGGGGGGAGGGGGTAAAGTAGATCTAGGGTAAAGCTCAATACACAAATAGGCCAATAATTATGCAAAACAAATTTCTGCATGACAGTTAAAAAAAAAAATAAACTGCAGCTCCACAAGTTTGAGTCTCAGTTTGATAAAAGTGAGGATGGTTTGAGACCAGTCAGAAAAAATGTTGTTTTTCCCAATGGAGAAATGAATATTAGAGAAGTTTGAGTAGGATAAACTATTAGAAGGGTCTGGAGACCTCTATCCTCAACTGGCAAAATGAGTTTTTTTGGGTGGGGGAAGTGTGAACCACGGGCCCAAAGTATACACAGAGGTGTTTGGGGGTCTGTATTGCAGAACAATTTTCTGGGTTATAATTACAATTAATTTGCTGTTTTGATTCCAGACCAAGATAATAAGTTAACCAAAAAATACACACCCTGCTCAAGATATGTTTTGTTTGATAAATTAAAATTGCTGGATCTATGTCAAGTCAAAAGTCAGCTTCCCAGCCCCACCAATACATCAAATCATGAACAGTCACAGTGAAACAAGCATTCAAGCTGGGTGAGTGTGTAGAAAAAAAAACTTGATTCAGTGGACTGTTGAGACTGCAAGTAGTTAGTACCAAGTCTTTTTGTACTCATAACAAGGAGACAATCATGATTAAAGTTTGGAACTCAAAATATGTTCAGACTGTTGGTTTAACTCTGGTCAATCATGGAGGTGAGGCAGAGACCACCAATGCTCATTCCCATTTCTTCCTCTGTTTTGAGGATCTTATCCTTGCATTCTTACTATTTTTTTCTATCAAAACAAAACAAAACAAAATCACATTGATTCAGATTGTTTCATGCATTCCAACATCATACATGTTGGTCAAGATCCCACAAAATACTACAAATGTTGGGATGATACGTGAGAAGAATGATTAAAAATGTAAATGTTGAACACAGCAACTTTTGGGTTATTTGAAATTACAGGTATGAAGTGAGCTGTCTAGCTGTCTTGCAGGTCATTTTAGTGCTGGAGTCAACATCAATTCAAACTTTGATCTGAGCACTGAATTCAGAATTGTTTTTGGATCATTTTTTTCATTTATTATCATTCTTCCCTTCATGACATGCAATCCTTTACACTATTCAGTTTATTTTTTTTAGGAACAACACTAAAAAAATGAGTGATTGTGATATTTGTTTTCTCAAATTTCGCAATCATTTCTTTTTTTTTCACATTTTTATTTTCAGAATCATCATTTGGAATGGAACACTTTCTTTTACCACTTCACCAAGTCTGATTACTTGGAGATTGTAGGTTGAAATGATTTGAGCCATGTTTATCACACCAACTGCTCATGAAACCTCCACCATCTCAAATTAATCCATCAGCCCACCACCACTTCCAAGACACACCCACAACCCACACACACACACACACAAAATAAATCAAGTCAAATATGTAGCATCTCTTTGAATCAAGAAGATACCAAATCTTGTATAAGAAAGAAAGCAGTCATATTGAAGTGACAATCTACTAGCTCTACTACTACTACAACAACAAAAAACATCAAGTACATGACTTCTCCCCCTGTCCCTTACTTACAAGGAGGACAAAGGAAATACAACAAATAAATAAACAACAAATCTAACTTTTGATGAATTGATTCAGTTTTATCAAAAGAAAAAAAAGAAAGAAAGAATGTATATCTATATTTGTTTATATATTGTATATGGGGAAGGGGAAAAGTGAGGAAGAATGAAGGGATGAATGATTAGGATATTTTAGACCAACCACTTGAGCTTATTTCTTTGTTTGAACATCATAAATAGTAAGGGAAAGGGGGTAAGGAAAGGGAAGGTGGTTTATATAGGTTGAAGTGAAGGTGAATTGTTGGGGGAATTGGTTCTTTTGAATTGTACAAGTATGTATGTATATATTGAGTAGAGTGACGATTAAGGTTGACGTAGATTAGACCTTATTTCTTGTTTGAGTTTGTCCGGAACCAATAGCTGAACAAACAAAACCGAGAGAAAAATGGTAAGTCCAACGATGAATGAAAGGATTGAAAGTAGGAGGGAAATAAGACATACTTTCTTAGTTTTCAAGCCTGGAAGATGGTTCTTAGCGTGTCTATACAAGCTAGCCAAGTCACCACACACATGTTCGCCATCTTCCTCATCAGGAAGAAGGTTGAACGGATTCCTCTTCGACCGATGGGAAGGATCAGATGAGTGGTTCAGAGAAGAAGAAGGGAATGAAGAGTTATCATTGTCAATGGTATCGATATGCAGGCCGACTTGGTTGGGATACTCGTTGTATTCGCTCTGAGAGGAGCGGAGGTTGTGGACCCATTTCTTGCGACATTCGCCGGAATAGCAAGGTTTCCAATCCGAAGGTTGCTCGGCACCTCTAGTCAGACGATGGAAGAACTTCTCGAATTCAGGGTAAGAGTCTTCGAGGATCTCGGTGACCTTATGCCAGAAGGATCCATCCAAGGGGGAGCTTGACGGTTGGTCGAGGAAGCGCTCAACGCCGTTCTCCTCCAACATCTTCCCATAAGTCGCTCGGGCCGAATAGTATTCGAACCATTCCGGATGGATCTGGAAAGTGGGCGAGGAGAGGTTGGCGATGATCTCGTGGAAGTCAAGGACTTGGTAGGTCTCCGGGTCGACGTCGTAGACGCGGAAGGCTGGGTTGCCCGACTCCGGCGTCACCGCCGGGCCGATGTAGATGATCCCAACCGCGTTCTCGGCCGTGGGATGCTGGGGATCATCGTACACGATTTCCCATTCGGATCGATGGGTATGGCCATAAAACATCGCTGCAATCTAAGAGAATAAACAATTTTCAGCTCTTGAGCTGACAGACTCCGTGTGGGTATGCGTACCGTGTGCTTGTACCTCCTCAGGATCTGGTTGATGTACCGGCTGGGCTCGTGCAAACAGTCAGCCTTCCCGGGTGACAGATGTCCGATGATCCAGGCCTTCTGTCCTCGATTCTCAGCGTCCTGCAGTTCGCCAATCAACCAAGCTAGGATCCCATTGGGGTCGGGCTGGAAATCATCGGAATCATACAACCAAAAGTTCTTTTGGAGTGGTTTTTCGAGGTCATTATCAACCGAGGAGGGGGGGGGGATTTTTTTTTGGTTGAGGAATCTACATTCCTGCCAGTAGACTCACTGCCTTGTACCAAAAGCCGGTGTTGAGTGAGATGATCTTCAGATTAGTTCCGGGATGCACCCGACTGTAACATCCCGACGTTTCCTGAAGTGCTTGAGTACCCTCATTACCGATCCATCTAGCCCACGTATCTGAAAACAGCTCGATATCCCATTGCGATGAGAGGGTGGTGATTGTTGTATTCCGGGGAAAGGAGTTCGTGGGCGCGACGTCACTAGGGAAAAGGTCACAGAACATCAAGAAAAGAAAAGTGAACAAGCTTTTTTTTGGATGCGACGGGCAGATTGATGTACTTACTGGTTTCCAATCACCCCATATAGTGGCACATCCGAATATGTATGATATTGAGAATGGCCCTGTTGAATACCGTCTTCAACTTCTTTCCGAACCGAGGTCCATACCGCATCTGCCATAATAAGGTAGGTTGAGCTGAGACGTGCACATGGTGGTAGCTTTTCCAAAGACTCGGGATACTCACGGTCGACCATATCTCCTGTGTGCATGGCAAAACTTGCATTGGGTGCATGACTTTGAGATCAAGAGGCATGTTAGTCAGGCATGTGGGATTCTAGGGGGAAAGGCTAAATTCCAGACAAATTGAGACTGACTTCCGTAAGGCTCTCAACATGCTTATGTATAAGGATTCGGGTGAGTCACAATTATGATGACCATAAGGCCCAGCGGGAATTTGAGTTTTATTGAACAAGTCGGAAGGTTGATTTAGACGACAGCATAAATTTCGGGCGCATTTCGCGTCGGCTCCAATCTACAGGATGTGACAAGGGGATCAGCTCATGAGCTCTACTTTTATTTCGTGGGAAGTTCAGGTGAGAAAGAAAGCAAGAAAAAGATGAACTAACGGTGTATTCTCTATCTATATGTAAATCACTGATGTGGATCACTTGTAAGGGTTCTCGTTTGGTATTGGAGGATGTTGTTGGAGATGGTGAGCGAGGAGGCAGACGAGGGTGAGCCGGAGGGGAGCGTAAACTGGGCTGTTCTTTCTGAAGGGTGAGATTGGTGGTGAGGAGATGGGATAGACTGGGTGGGGGCAGGGGCATATCGCTCCACTCTCGTACGGGAGGGTCGTCACATAGACCAAAAGTCTTGGCGCAGAAGAGGACGGAGGCCGGACCACCGAGGGACATGGATCTGAGGGAGTGAGCCAGGATGGGGGCCTGAGCGCCGAGTGCACCGCGACAGACTTCAGGGTCCTGGATCCCTAATCCGGTGCAGAAGCTGACGAGGGGTCGAGAATAGTTTGGAGTCGCCGAGATGGGCGATAGAGATGAGTGGGATGAGGAGTGCCTGACAGGATGCGCAGGTTGAGAGGTTCTCGATGGAGTGGGCTAGTTGGTCGACGAGGTCTCGATGGGTGTAGAGGTTATAGAGATAGACGGCGGCGGCGGCGAGGATGATTGAGATGATGGTGAACAGGGTTCGTTGTCTGGTTGGGAACTTGCGATACTGAGCATGATAGAATGGCAGTGAGGGCTTGAAGAAGAAGTGAGAGTGGCGGCTGGCAGGCTGGTTGGGATTGGCAGGTTCTTGTATGGTTTGATAGTGTTGAGTTTCCGGACTGGGGACGAGCGGGGAGCGTTCGTGTGGGTGGGATGGCATTGAGCTAGCTGCTGAGCCTGTGGATGGTAATCTGGTCAATAGGTTTGCGGCTGACTGGCGGATGTTTGCAGTTGGAGTCGTAGTATGTACTTCAGCTTCAGCCAGAGTAGATAGGATGTGGGCTTGAGGGTGGGTGTTCGTCTGTGGTAGCTAGTCGGGTGTGAGTGTTTGTTGAGGATGGATGGTCATGAGAAGAAGTTGAGGGGGGAGGTAGGATTAAAGTGAGCGGGCAGTGAAATAAAATATAAATCAGCGAAGGGCAAGAACGGATGAGCGCGGGTGTGATGACGTAGTAGCCATATAAGCCAGTTGGACTGCCAACTATTTATGTATTATTTATTCCACTTCATATGTAAGCCAGCTGGGAACCCCGCCGGGAGAGGAGTCCTGTGATCATCATCCTGCTAGCTACATTCAATCGAGATCACACATCACTCAACCCCTCTTATGATCTGGACTCCCTCCCCCTAATCACCAGTACCGCTTATAATCAACATTCACTCTTCATCCACCAAAAACATAAACACATCTCATTCCAAACTTCGAATTTACAGACTTGCAGTCCGGCTGATTTGAAGAAAGATAGAGTTGGATCAATCAGTTGATTGCAGATCTTCACAGTCCAACATTGCCATCACTTGAGCAGCTACAAGATTTGGCCAAAAGTGGCCAAAAGTGGGTTTGAAAACCTCCTGCTGCGCTGTTGCTGTTCACCTCCCAAAAAAAATGGTGCAAGAACACACTACAAAACCAAGTAACTAGCTGTAGTTTGGTGCGGGTGTGCTTGAGCTGCTTCAACATTTTTAGACTCGAGCTGTGTCAGACTTGGTTGTGAGGTGCTGAAGATCAAGTACCACTTTTAGCATTGGAGCACAGATTTTCAACCTAATTGACAGCTCATGGTTCCCCTTACCATATCCATCTTCACTCTGAGATCTTCATGAGGCCCAAATTTATGGGATCCTTATAAATGATTCAAACCAGGCTATAAATGATTCAACCCAGGCTGGGAGATCTTCATATTTAATTTCTGTCTGTGTCCCCCTCAGGACCAGGCTGCTTGGCTATATTGCATCAAATGGCCCTGATGTTAGTATGAGTATAGTGACCCTTACCTCAGCCTGCTGGCACTGTAGTATTTTTAGCATTTAAGAACCACTAGAGTGCTTGTAGTAGATCTTTCTGCTTCACCATTACTAAACACAAACAGAAAAACTTGAAGAGCTTAGGACACACTTAAAATGCTACTGCTAATGTAGCTGGCCCAGACTTGCACCCCTCTTATCTTAACTCAAGCTTACAAGTACAGGGTAGAAATAAAATTGGAGAGTGAGCACCAGGAAAAAAACAAGAGTCACTTGTTGACAGGTCACATTGATCAACAATGGGCTTAGCTCTGTTCCAACTACAGTTGTATTACCAGTGGACTACAATGGCCCCTAATTTGTCCTCTGTAGGGGACTGTAATCACTTGCAAGGGGGTAGATGATGGGTGGCAGGATGAACTTAGCCTGATGTCACCTGTCATCTAGTAATCATTGATTTTTCCTGGTGGAGGAAATCAAAATTATGGCACAAAAGGTTTTGGGTCCTCCCCCAAAATATCCAATTTATCTCAGAGATAGGCAAGTTGAGTCTAGATATATGTAATACTAAAAGGAGATATTAAAAGTCAGTTAAACTTGTTGATTCTGCTGGCAGGGGTTACAGGTACAATAGCTGTGAATGTTTAATTTGGGGCTGTTCAAGCTTAATTGCTCAAGCCTCAAGCTCTTCTGAGTGATTTGTGAGATGCTTCCCAATGGCAATAGGAACACCACAATTATGACACTCAATAAGGTTTGTGTTGGAATTTCACCTCTTTTCTTCTCATCCCCAAAAAACCCACCTATCTCATCTTTAAAAATTGATCATGTTTAGATAAATAATACAAATGATTTTTATCTGTTTTTGTTGGTCTTTGTGTGATATCTTGTCAAGTTGTCTAGTGCTGTAATCCTTGTAGTCTTTGAACCCTGGTCTAGTCTTTATCAACTGTCATTTGCTCCAATTATCCTTTCAAGCATATGCTAAATCTTTGTTATTCATTTTAATATTCAAATTCTCTCAACCACAGATTGAACTTGTTGTACGTAGTCTATTTAACGCGTAGGCTCTACTAGCCAATAAAAACCATTGGTTCTTACTCTCTTTTTCTGTGAGCCTTTCCCAAAATAAGATATTCTCTTTTTTGGCCCTCAACCTCTTACGTGCCTTAGTTTTCAAATTCCAACAGTTTGATACCCTAAAAACAGTGTGGTTGATAGCCCTTTCATTTCCAAACTAATACCTTCAGATGTGTTGGAAAACTGGCAAATTCCACTGACTCTAATTGATGCTAAATAACAGCTAAATAACTAAAACATTAATAACTTTTGGAAATTTTGTGAAGCTAACTGCAATTTTAGATCAGATAGAGCAGCACAAATGTATCCACAATTCAGTGGAATAAAAAAATCTAACTTTTAGCTACATCAAATTAATCACGTAAATGCCAATATTCAAGACCACATTCTTGACAAACAAAAAAACTCGGCCCGCCAGGTTGACTCATGGGTGGCACAGATGGGGTTATTTCACCACACCTGTGACAATGTGAAAACTGTAAAGACCACCAGGGCATGCCAGATAAGTTTAACATTTCTCTCTGCTCTAACCCCAAAATTGAAAAGATTGCTTACCCAGATTTGATTCTGTTGTCTGTGGTATTGATATTCTGGGCTGTAGTCTTGATCTTCTTCACTGGATTCTTGATATCTTGGTTGACTTGCTTGAGCTCTTGGTTGAGCTCTTGTTTGTACTGGTTTTGGTCTTTCTGGAAGGCTTGTGTCAGTTCTTCGACAACGTGGGCAATTCCTATTTGCTCCTTCAGCTTTCCACCGCTCCATACAGCTCTTGTGCATATATGATGATGCTCTACACCTGACCATTCCCTGATGTTGTCTATCATATGGCTCCAGGCAAATGGACAGTTATT